CCGGGGGGGTGCAAGAGCCAGCCTTCGGGATGCCCCCGTCCCTCTTGGCCCTGGGGAGGTGAGCCGTGGCCCTGCGGGGTCGAGCCCCACGCCGGGGAGGGTTGGCCGGGGGGCTGCGCCAGCTCCAGGGGTGCCCGACAGGATGGCAGCTTTTCCTTTGACTGTTGGGGGGGGGGTTTATACGTTTGTATTTATATGTAAAGAGTGTGCTTTCATTCAGGCTTCCTGAAGGGCTCTACTTTCGGCTCCTCGTACTTTTTACAGGGTACCCTTCATATCATAGGCTAGCTTTTCTGGAAGATTACTCCTATTTTTCTACCGAATAAACCACGGCTGCATTTCATTGCTCTCTGGCCCGTTTGCTCTTTTCCGGCTTGCCAGGGCAGAGGGGTGCTGGGTAGGGTCCACGTCCCTGTGTCCCTGGGCCTCCTTGCGGAGCAGTCGGTAGTGGCAAGAACAAGAGTTTGGGGACAGCGGGGGGATGGTGTGGCTTTATTCCTGAGCTGCTCTGGGGCTTCTCTTCTGCTTTTACAGCACACTGTTGCAGTGTAGTTTGGAGGAAGAAGTCAGGATTTGTCCGCATTCCCTTTTGATTTTTTTGTTAAATGCCTTTTTTTTAAGTATGAAATTATAATTAAAACAAATGTTCATTTTGGTGGAATTTTGCCCCCTTAGTCCCCCTTGTTTTTGCTGTTGTCAGCTGTTCAGTCTTAAGTTTTGCCTTCTGAGGGAAAAAAAGATGCTTTTACACTTTCATCCCAAATCCAGAAAGCCTGCATGTGAAAATGGTGTGTGCGAAGCACTGCAGGTGGGGGAGCAGAACAGTTTGCAAAATTCATTGCAAACACACTGCAGTTGTTTTGAGAGTGACCCTATCCCAAATCTTTAGTAAAATGAGGAGTCACTAACCCAGGGACACCATGAAGTGAGAGCGCAGGGAGTGAGGGGATAGATCTGGGAACAGGGCTGACAGGGTCGTGGCAACTACCCGTGTTTGCAAAAACCCCTCCAGTATGCTGAGAAGGAGCAATCTGAAGGGTCTTACTGCAGCTGCAGTGCTATTTGCTTGCAGAGACTTCAGACGTGGACTTTGGTCAGTTAAAGTCTATTAAGCTGTATAATTACAATAATAGGATTTGCAGAGCTTAACAATATCAGCAAAGGCTGTGTGCTGGCTGGAGAAAGCTTGTAGCTGACTGTTTCTATCAAGTACATTTATCTAGCTTGATCGCTTTATTAGGTGGACGTTTAGGTGTTGTTTAAAGACTGCATAAAGAAACTGTGAAGTCTGAGATACTGGCCCTGAAGAACGGACAGGTGCTGAGCTTGCTCCGCGGAGCATGTGGGAGCACGCGTCCGCCCGCCGGGCGGGTTTTGAGACAAGATGTAAGGCAATAAAATCACATTCTTAACCAACCTCGCTGTTTCTTGCTGTCATGATTTGGGATGGGCAGGGGAAGGGGCCGTGCCAGCATGGTAGAGCGGGGCAGCGGGTACCCTTACCTGCAGCTCCTGCCTCGGCTGTCATTGCTTCGTTGCCCAGGGAGGTGAAGCCCTCCTATTTGCTCCAATCGCCCCACGCTAGCTGAGCACGAGGCGTCTTGAGATCCTAGTAAACCCAGCGACACAAAATGGTTTTTACGCAGCATCTTTTGCTTGTGGCCAAGTCTCTCTCCGCAGTGCTGAGCCTCCCCGAACAAGCGCCTCTCGCTCAAAGTAGCGCTTGGGCTCAGCCCTCCTGGCTGCTCCGGGAAAGCAGCATTAAAGTGAGTTATTAAAAAGGCTATGCTCTGGCCTGGACCGTGCTGGGAGCCTGGGAACTGCTCTCTGCAGGCTGGGAGTCAGCCGGGGCTGTTGTGGGAGGGCCGGAAGCAGCCCACCCCGCGTTTGCTAAGGGTGAGCTGCATCCAGGCACTGCGAGGCTGACTTCTGCTTGTGCAGGATGAGCTGTTGCGCTGGTCTCGGTGTCAGAGGATTGTGAAATGATTGCAAAAAACCCCTAGAAAGGAGGCCTAACCAAATACATCTCCGGCCACAAACAGCAAAGTGGGAGCAGATGTCAGGAGCCAGTCAGCACGTGAAAGAGAGCCTAATTTCTCCGTGGCTGTAAATGTGAATGCTGCTTGAGTTTTCCTCCCCCCCGACCCCC